CATAGTAATCATCATATAAACAAGACAAGATAGAGTGGAAATAGAAAAAGGCAATTTTTTTTAATTTGCCTATTTCCTAATTTTTGCCAGGTTCGGAAAATTAAATGTCGGAAATATTGTCTTTATAATGTTATCCAATTAAAATTAGGAAAATGATGAAATTTGAACATTCCTAAAATTAACCACTCGGATTAAATACCACTTATACAGTATACGACACTTTTAAGTTTGAAGAAATACAATAAATCAAAAGTTAACTTTCGAGAGAAAAGTACATAATAAGCATGACCAAATAAAATCTCAAAGTGGCTTTTGAGGAGGTCCCATACCCCAGGTAGATAAAGCTATCAAACAAAACATAAGGCATCCTAATTACAAGCAAATCTAAGGCCACCGAAAAAAACAGAAAAAACATGAACATATTGATGCAATTCCAGATACAGAACTGTATAATGATTGGAAGAAACTCAGCAGATGATGATTTCATGATCGTTTAATCAAGCCGATCAAAGCTTTAAAATCACATCCTAAATTAATGAAGGGGAAATAGAAGCATGGATGAGACAAGTTGAAAAAAGATTGCAAAGAATTCAGTCTGCTCTATCCTATCTAATTCCTAAGATGGTTATGGTCAAAGAGACATTTATAGTTTTACATGTCTTTATGGATCTTTTGTAGGGGTTGTTTAATGCTTTTCTGATGTTGCCAAATGTTCTCCCTAATGACAATGTTAGACTGCCTTTATAATTAAGAAAAATATAGACCGAAAAGCAGGGGTAATATTGTCGAATGCACCCCACAGGGCTAGGCACAAACGTTTTCTGTACCCCAAATGACCGAAGGGAGTGAGGAATTCGAAAACTTTTGTGCCTAGCCCTAAGGGGTGTGTTTGACGATATTACCCCTGCTCTGAGGTCTATATTACGATTCGAACATGAAAACTCACCAAATGTTTCGATGGTCCGCCATAGCTACGACCCACAGGTGAAATGTTGACTTTGTTTAAAGTTTATAGAAGGCATGAATACAGTCATGTTCGAATATCTGATAAATACCGTCACAAAACGAACAAGCGGTATGCACTTTCACTTCACTTCAGCATAACTGGACACTTTCATTTCAGTACATTTAAATACTCACTTCAGCACAATTAGACACTTCATTTAAGCACAATTACTCTTTCAGTTCAGCACAATTAGACACTTTCACTTCAACACAATTAGTCTCTCACTTCAGCGCAGCTCAATTTTCCCTTCAACATTTGGACATTTTCACTTCAACATATTTGGACACATTCACTTCAACATATTTGGACACATTCACTTCAACACGACATTCACTTTAGCACAATTAGAAACTTTCACTTCAGCACAACTGGACACGTTTCACACTACTGGCATCAATAATTTATCAAAACCTGCTCTCTACTTTCTTATCTTTTTGGTCAGCACAATTTCCAAAACAAAAATGGTAACAAGAGCACAAAAACAGATTATTACATGAAACTTTGAAATATTGTGGCTAACTTGGATGATGAGATGACAAACTATTACCTACCTCTATCCAAGATATCTAAGCTATCAACGGAGCCACTGAATCCTTTAATTCTATCTCCTTTCTTGTAGATGTAGACATTCACGCGAGATACAAACATCTTGGTGATATTATCCATGCAACAGTTCTAGTAGAGTCAATGTCACCCAAAATAACACTTCTTAAAATGTCATAGAATATCCGGATATCTTTGAACTCATTTCAAAATCAGATGAGATTTTAATCAAAGCCAGTTTCAGTGGTAGCTTAACTCAAAAACATGTTGGTAATGAATGAGACTTCAATGTCATCTCAAATTCTGTGCAGAATTTGCAACTTTTTTCTGGTCAGAGTCAATGCTACTTGTATATCTAGGATTTATTTCTTCAGTGAAAATGGTAATCTTGAAAATGTACTAAAGTCACAAAAACATTCCAGTGATAACCCTCCTTTCAATACATCTTCATTCAATTTCATTTGTACTCTATTTATGTCCAACTGGTGCACCATTTGTAACTTTTTTCCGGTCAGTATTACTGGTATATCTACAAGGATGCATTCAGTCAAAATCCTTATCTTGAAACCTTACAAAAGTCATAAATAAAAAATCCAGTGATGACTCTCCTCTCAATATTATATCCTCTCACCCCAGTTATGCTGGTATATCTTAAACACTTATTCCTTACAGTGAAAATGCAAATCTTGAAATTTAACTTTAAATCACCAAAAATTCCAGTGATAACTCTCCTCTCAATATTAAATCACCTCATCCCAGTTCTGCTCTGTTCAATAGCTTTGTCTCTAGTCTATCTGGGTATCTCATCACCAGACTCAGCAGAGATCCTGGTAGATATAAATAGCATTATAAGTCACCTTTAGAAAACAACTGCTTCTGTCTTACATGTCTTGCATGCTTCCCCAGGTGATGAAGTCTAATTGACTGGTAGCAGAAATAAGCTCATAAATGTTCACTCACTCTATGGTCTGACAGGCCTGTAGCCAGCCATGGGGGGGGGGGGTGTTTGAGCGTTTTCCGTTCTGAGAATTTTTCAAGTGATTTTGGGCCAAACTGTCAAATGTGAACCTCCTAGAATTTTTCAAAAAAAGTGCCCCCTCCCCCTGACTACTGGCCTGAATAGCTCATAATTTTTCACTCAGTTTATTTTCTGAAGATAATAACTCAATGGAATAAGTATAAGTCCAATGACACGATTAGATGTGAATACTAACACAGAGTAGTGACCAGTAGTATGTATGGGGGACTGGGAAAGGGGGAGTTCACAAAATAGAACCAGATCTAAGAGAAAACTAGCAGAGTTCCCTCAGGTGAGTTGACCTTGAGAGAAATGTCACGGTAGTCACGTTTTAAAGTGCGAAATAAAGTAGAAAAGAGTGGAATCAGCAAGTAATAAAGTAAACAAGCATGTAGTCAATAGTCTAAATTGATCAAAAATGCAAGAAAATTGGGCAGTCTGTTCAAGGTTTGAAGAGAAAAAGTCTGAAATAGGTACAAGTAAGAGTTATTTATCAAAGGAGATTTAAGAAAATACAGCACACTTATTTTTCCCCAAAACAGATGTCCTTTGTTAGGAACTTGACTTTTTGTAATTTATACCATTTGCTTAATCTACTTTCAGAATCTTTTTCAAATTATGTCTATGTGCAGTACAGCAATAAATGCTGAAAGTTCTATCAGTGATTGGCTCCAAAAATGAAATCTGGCTTATCTGACTAGGTCAACTTCTATTCAACAAAATCCAAGGATTCTTAAAGTTCTTTGTTCATTTTCTGCTACCAGGCTTCTACTCTTAAAATTATGATTCATTCAGCACTTAACTCTCATATGTCACCCCATAAATAAAAGAAGTTGATTTCTATGTTGGATAACTAGGTAGAGTTGCTTATGAGAGGTTTTGGGCTAATTTGAGTGATGTAATTATTGTTTTCTCTGATAACGAACTTAACTTATGTATAAATTTTCTCTCTGCATGGTGATGCCTGGCTTTATAATTTGTGACTATATGAACTGCCTAATCTTCAGGCATTTTTAGAGAATTAAATTTTAAAATGCCTATTTGCCTTTTTCCTTGTTGATGCTACAATTTCCCACTTTTTCAATATTCCAAATATAACTGCCCTGACAAATTTCACAATTTTCACCATAAAGCTATTCCTTGGCAACTGAGTGAAAAGAGAGAAGTTACCAAGAAAAGTGCATGACAACAACAGAACTCATAACTCCATTTTCTTCAATTTGAAATAAGTAAGGATATCATTTAGAAAATGGTCTAAGAGAGTCTTTATTTAGAAAGCAAAACCCATAAACAATTTTCAGGCATTTGCTTTATGTCATTCCAAAGCTGACAAGAGCCCTCTGTTCTGAACTGTGAAACATTTAGTCATCATATAAATAATACCCAAGCCCGTAGCCAGAATTTTCCAAGGGGGGGTTCGTTTTTCTAAAAAATTCTAGGGGGGGTTCACTTTTGCAAATATGGCCAAAAATCACTCAAAAAGTAATCAGAATGGTGAAAAACTGCATGATTTTGAAAGAATTTTTGGCCAGGGGGGGGGGTTCGCCCGAACCCCCCGAACCCCCCCTGGCTACGGGCCTGACCTTTGAAGAAATGGCAGAAATGCCATGATTGTAGCCAGCTTTATTCAAGGGGCGCTCACATATTTCAAATGATTCAAATCAAAATTTTGCAAAAAAACACAATATATTTTTCCAAAAAGGTAGATCACATCAGAAGAGTAGATGTCTTAATGCACACCTCAGGGTATAATAATATGAAGATATAAGATGGCTCGAAACAATTTCAAAGAGAAACGAGGTTGAGAAGTTATGCATGGGTAGTATTCTTGCAGAATGTCTAGCTAACTTGTCATGCCACTTTCTCTAAATGCCTGAATTCTGTGCAATACCATTTGGCCATCACCAGTTCAGCTGCACCAGTTCATGCATTAAATGCATCACCAGTAGATGCATTTAATACATCAATACCATCATGATAACCCATGGCATATCTTTCTTAATTCTCAAAAGCAAAAGATAAAAGGGGCTCTGCTAAATCAGAATACACTAAAACTGCATTTAATGCATGATACTATACAGTAAAACCTGTATATCAAAACACCTCTCTAATGCCTGGGTCACATTTGCTCCGATTCATTGGCCGGCGCTCGGTCGATTGAGTATTTTGTTCAAAATTGTATACAGTGTTGACAAGAATACTCAATTGGCCAGGCGCCAGCCAATGAATCGGAGCAAATACGACACAGGCATAATCTGAACACCTCTTAATGTGTGAGCCCTTTTGTGATCCCAGTTTTCATCTGCCATTGACTTCCATGTTAAAAACCTGGAAATGTAAACACCTGCAAATCCAGACACTTTTGGCTGAACCAACTAGCATTTGAATTAGATAGGTTTCACTGTACTATAAATATCTATTTCACAAACTCACCTTTTCCAGCTATTGTCCTTTTAGGTGTGGTTGGTGTTGATGTTGGTTTCTCAGTTTTCTCATCTGCTTTTTTAGTTTTGCTTCCTGTCCTATTCATAGGTGTCGCCAGTGATGTTCTCCGCGTTTCTTTCTCTGCAAAAATTGTTGAAGATAAATAAATGTGGTAAAAAACCTTGAGATGGTTCCCTATGTGGTGCATTCAAAGATTTAACTGTGTGTAATTTCTAGAACGAATCTTGAATTGAATCCTGATTTAGAAAAGAACAAAAATTATTCCATAATAACATGTTTTCCCTGGGAAAATAACAGGGAATAAAAGTGTTATTTGAAAAATCCCGTATCAGATCCCGTATCAGCCAAAATCCCGTATCAGATCCCGTATTGGATCCCGTATCAGCAAAAATCCCGTATCAGATCCCGTATCAGAAATATTCCCGGTAATTTCTCTTGAGTTTTACGCTTTTCGTCTAGCACATCTCTACATGAAGTAAAAAAATCGTTTGGAAAATTGAAATTATTGAAATTATTATATGATAAATTGTATAATTTTATGTCACAATCATTGGATGATGACATACAAAAATTGAAAAAAAAATATTATGAAATAAATAGGTTATTGATGGTCATGATGGAATATGGATTTATTCCTTGAGAAAATATGATATTGGCCTCAGAAAATATCATATTGACACTCGGGCTATCGCCCTCGGTCAATATGATATTTTCCTTGGCCAATATCATATTTTCCCTCGGAATAAAATCCATATTCCATCCCTCCCATTAAATAACCTCTATTTACTTTTCAATTTAACTTTTAACTTTTTAATAGAGAGTTTCTATATCACAAGTATAAATTCCAAAATCTTATTTGCATTCCCACTCTAACATTTTCTCATTCGCCTTTGCATCATTAACATCCAAAACTGGATCATTATTTTCAAAGTCCATATCTTTCAGCGTAGCCATTCATTAACTGTAAAACTGCAAGATGTCCAGTTAAGACGTCTTCATTTTTTCAGATGGAAGTTGATTATTTGTAAATTCTAAAACATGAGCCATTTAAACGCAACCTTGGAAAGAGTTTTACAAATCATATTATGTTTACATATTAGAAATCAATTCTAGTTATTCACCAGACGGTTTCAAAATGTCAATAGAAATTATATCTACCAAAGATGTTTAAGTATACAGGCTAATATAGCCTTTGAAAAAAGAAATTCTGGTGTAATAAATTAACGTCAGCTTGAAAACATACATGTCTCCTTGAATTGTCCTCTTATGATATAAATGTTGTTTTTCAATGGTCATGATTTTCTCTTTAGTAATCCCCAATCTAAAATTGTGATAGTTGCCACTCATGGAATTTTTTCAGATTAAGGCACAAAGATCTTTTGAAAGACTTGTCTTCTTTAATTACCTACTCTAAAATTGTATTCACAAAAGTCTGTGAATGATGCATATTTTTGCCAGTTTATTTCTCAAAGAAAAAATGAATATCATAAGCAGATATAAGAAATATTAAAAATTTAATAAAATATTTCATTGGAAATATATCAAGTATTTTATCTTTATACAATTTCTATTATATACACTTACCAATAGTCTTTCCGAAAAAGGAAACACAGCAAAAAATGTGAATCAAACCACTGAATCCTGGAGTCAGGATTCATACAGGATTCATATGCACATATGAATCCTGTATGAATCCTGCCTCCAGGATTCATACAGGATTCGCTGTTTAAATAGTTTACAAATGAATCCTGCCTTCAGGAATCATACAGGATTCATATGCAATATAGTTTACAAATGAATCCAGCCTTCAGGATTCGTACAGGATTCATATAGAAGGTAGTTTGCAAATGAATCCTGCCTTCAGGAATCATACAGGTGCAATATAGTTTACAAATGAATCCAGCCTTCGGGATTCGTACAGGATTCATATAGAAGGTAGTTTGCAAATGAATCCTGCCTTCAGGAATCATACAGGATTCATATGCAATATAGTTTACAAATGAATCCAGCCTTCAGGATTCGTACAGGATTCATATAGAAGGTAGTTTGCAAATGAATCCTGTAGCCAGGATTCAAGCAGGATTCATATGCAATATAGTTTACAAATGAATCCAGCCTTCAGGAATCATACAGGAATCAAACGAAAATTGGAATTGATGTGTATGTTTCTATTCTAACACTCACATTGGCGTATCGCATATATTACGCCAAATGCGCACAGGCGTACCAAATGAATTCGAAAAATTTAATAAAAATGTGTAATTATTTAAAAGTTGTTCTGTGTGCTAATTTAAAATACATTGTTTTATTTATATTGTCTTCCCCGAATGGGTATATAAACTTTAAATATACATGTAGCCATGTTTATTGAAAAAAGGACATTGGTTTTATTCGGTCCGTTTTATTCTTATTGGTATTAACTCGCAAATGTCACTACTGGAAATGGTTTTGTGTGGCCATGGCAGGGCAAGAAGGGCCCCCGAGGGTCAAAAGGGGCCGTTCTGTAAGATAACTTCTTCGGACGGGAGGTTTTTTACCACAGACTTACAGAAGTGGTGCCGTTAAAAGAGTTTCTTCTTGGAGAAGGTGCCGCCTAAATGAAACAAAGTGCAATGGCCATTGAGATCGATGCTGTCCCTGTCAGGAGATAATATCAGGCGATGTATATTTGATGATAAACAAACTTGGTGGGCCATCTTGCCCAATGGTTCTTCTTATCCTGGGTCTCTTACTCCGCTCCTACGCCCATTTCTCATTTCTTAATGCTAATATAGAATGCGTCACGTGTTATGAAAGATTAGTAGGCCTCAATATTACAATTTGAACCCGATTTTGAAGCATCCTTCAAGATCGGTCCTTCACTGCTTTCATAGCAGCTCATGAATGTCACAATGCAATGAATTACTCTTGGGCCGCAGGGATGATTTTGAAGCACCCCTGTAAGCCTTTAAATTACATTGAAATGATAGGCCCTAGGATAGATACGATCAATAATTCATTGGGAGTTCGATTTGGTATCTTTGGTGTTTGCTTTGGAATAGCCTAATCCCGGGGGAATAATCACGAATCTCGCGAATCTACCCGGGGAATCTACCTTACGTGAAAGTTAGTTAGCCTACATTCTATTGACAACGTAACATTCATTTGTCATCGTGACCTGCAGGTCATGCGAACCATCAACATGCAATGGTTAATGGTTACAAAAAACTGGAAATCAGGAGTTTTATTAAGACGGGACTTCCCCTTTTTATGTCACCACCAAAAGTGGTCACATATTGTTAAAGTCTCCAACTTTTTTATGTACGGTGTTTAGCGTCTGGGGTCGGCGTTCAGCGTCTGTAACAAATGGCGGGTGGTGACATTTTTCATGTTTATGCCTTGTTTAATATTTAAGGCTCCAAATGAAATATGATATCTGATATCATCATGATGTTATTCTTATTATATTATTCTGTTTTGCAGGTGCCAATGAGTATGACACACAAGCAGTGACAATTGAGTTATAGCCCAGGGAGTTCAAGTTCATGCATCTTGCCTCAAGTAAAGTGTTAGTCCTTAAAGACAGGACTGTTGGGGAAATGGCACAGTTGCTTGATGCAAGAGTAAAACTTTGAAATAACCATAGATAATATTACAATAGATAAAAGTTTGGCATGCATTATTTTTTTTCGTTTCATTATTAGATTTGAGAGCAGGTAGACGTATACAGCAGTGCAGTGAATTATGTTTGTATTTTAAGAAGTTGTTTTTCAGGTGTGACCAGCGATGATTGCAGGCATGAATACACTTTAAATATATTTCCTAACATATTCCTTCAGTAAATACACCCGTTTGCATGTTTTAAATAAGCCGTAAATAAAATGTTTAAACTTTGTTAGCATGGTCTATAATCTACAACGACCGTCAACCTGTTTAGGTTTTGATTTGTTTTGTTGAAATTAGATTAAGAAATTAGTCTTTCAAATGTCACCAGCATGGGCGTAGCCAGGGGGGGTGCGATGGGTGCGATCGCACCCCCCCCCCATAACCTTTGAAAATATGACCATTGGATAGAGGTAGAAAAGAGCTTTAAAATGCTTTTTATTTGAAGCTTCTAGCTCAATTTTGAAGGAAGTTGCATCAATTTTTGTAAAATTCAAAAGAAAACTTAATTTTTTGTGTTGCTTATGGCAAAATCGCACCCCCCCCCTGACCGAAAACGAAAACTCTTTAGGGTTGAGGATTCACGTCGGTTTAAATTAGAATAATTCTTTACTATCTGGTTTTGTTTGCTTCATTGTGAAATGTTCATCGAATTGTTATTTTTCGAATCATTTCCATTTCGTTACATAAGTTATTTGGAATAAACTTAATTTCAGCTAAAATGCAGGGTAGTGCATGGCTGTTTTTGAAAATTTTTATTTTAACCTTTTGTTGCTTATCACCGTATTAATTATGAGCACAAGTTTTTATGTTTGTTTATTTGTTTTTATTTCTTATACAAGTACAAGTAAGTTATACATTGCAAGTCACACCCGTAGCAAACCCTACATTGCCTTACAAAGTTAACATGAGCAGTTTCGAGAAACATTAGAATATGGGAGGGGTTCAAGAAGAGACCCGGTGTAAAAGGGTAGGAGGTCAAGACAGTATCTGTTGGAATGTTATATATTTCCCTATCCATTATATGATAGGCGTATGCATGAGTGGAGGGTTGTGGAAATAGGGCCTCGTGAGAGATACATGTACTTGACAGTCAGTAATTGTTTACACCCCCCCCCCTTCCTTGAAATGCTGAACTAATGTGCTTTTTGTTCATTGAAACAATACGAAATCAAAATTGATTAGTTTCCTAATTACAATAAAAACAAACGGCTGATTAGAAGATTACAGTGACTGTTTCCCGTCATTACATAACAATGTTGAAGGTGGGCAAAGGAAATCGAGTCTGTATTGATCTAGTTAATAAGCATGATACGTGATTATAAACGTAGAGTAAAGGAAATGCCAGGATTTTTTTTAGCATTCTCATTGTAATCAGAACTATGTGAATTTATACCATTCGCTTAGACATGGGCTAAAATTTTGATTCTTTTCAGCCTAATATTCTATCCAACAGCATTAAATGATCAAACTCAATT